TATATATGAATATATAAAAAATATATAAAAATGCATGTGGGTACTCAAATGAAAGCTCTTGATGAGTATAACATCGGGATGAGCTTATATCTTAAAAAACGTCAATAGTTAATAAAGTACAGTTCAATTTAACAAATATCTGGTGAATCATTGACATTTTTAAAGATATAAGCTCACCCCGACATTACACTCATCGAGACCTTTCATTTGAGTACCCACATCAATTTATCATATATTTTTCATATATTTTATATATTTATATATATGAATATATGAAAAATATATAAAAATGCATGTGGGTACTCAAATGAAAGCTCTTGATGAGTGTAACGTATGTACATCAAGATGAGTTTATATCTTTAAAAACGTCAATATTTAAAAAATTACAGTGCATTTTAACAAAAGTAATTATTTAATAAAGCAAAATTTTAATTTTTTTTAGTTCAAAAGTCACGACAGTCACATAATGACTGCAAGGTTTCTAGTATTAATTACCTCATCCCTGACGCAAAACTCCGACTGATTATGACAGCGCGTTATAGAAGTAGACCAGGACAAATCCTGAAAACTGCCATCGGAGTTACTCTTAAGCCCGAAAGATGTCTCTGCAGCCTGGCCGCCATCTTCCTCAAGCTCGCCATCTTGTCGAGCGTGCTTTCCGTGATTGTTAACCCGGAATATCAACTGGGCCATCGAATCTCCGAGCTGCGAAGCCGTCTGTTTGTCTAGCGAAGGCAGCAAATTACTTCCCGACTCGATGAACTTTTCATCCGCGACCAAGTTGTTGATGCTCGAGGAACTTCCAGTAAGAAATTTACCGCTCCCGCTGACGTTCCACAAGGACGCTTTGGTGTCTTCCTTCGGACACGTGCACTGGGGGTTTCTGTACTCCAGATCCGCGCGCATTCCCGAGGCTTCGCACTCAATTGTAACACGCACAAGCTCATTATTAGAATTGCTTTTCTTCAGCTCATTAACACTGGAAACTTTATTAAATTTTTTCAGCCGGAATCCCACCGACTGTAGCAAGCAAATCAGCGCCGTGGTGTCCGCGTTTACTTCACTAATTTTTAATCTGTTGAATATAAAACTATCGTTGAAATTACTTTTGTTACTCGCTAATGAAAAACGTCGGAATTCAGACGGTACTCTTTTTTCAATTGAGGTTGAATCGCTTCCATTTTCTACGGGTACCTCCATCTTGTCGAACATGAGACTCACAACTGACTACTGACTATCGGCCAAATACTTGTTTTACATGCAAGATCATTGTTGTAGTAATTGTCGGTATGTACTAGCTAGTATGTAAATACTCACAAGTAAACAAAAGATTAAGAATTAAAAGGAATTTTTTTTTTATTATAGCTTATAGATGATTATAAATATAGATGAAGAAATTTTGGAATGAGAATTCTGTTTTATCATTGAAAATTTTTGAACCGGTGGAAATTTTTTTTTTTAATTAAATTAGCCGACTTCTGAAAGTTTTTTTTATTAAAAAAATTAAAAAAAAATTTTCATTTGTAAAAAAATTTAAAAATTGTCAGTGCAATTTTTAAAAAATATTTTTTGTTCTAATTTAATTATTAAAAAAAAAATTTAAAATTAAAAACGTCGGCTAACTTTTTAGTATTATAATAATTATTACTTTATTAATAAAGTTAGTCGACATTTTTGATTTTTTTATTTTGCTTAATTTATTAAATTATAGTTAAAAAATATTTTTAAATAGTTAATGAAATTTTTATCAAATGAAAAAATTTTTTTTACTTTTTTTGTAATAATTCTTTCATATAAAAAGTCATAAAATTTTTTAGATGTCGGCTAACTTTATTTTTCTTTTAGTATTATATTTTTTTTTTTTTTTTAATTAAATTAGCTGACATCTGAAAATTTATGAAAATAAAGTTTGCCGACATTTAAAAATTTTTAGAAATTTTTTGTTGAAAAAATTTCAATTAAACAATTAAAAAAAAAATTATCACATGTAAAAAACTTGAAAAACTATAAGTGCAATTTTTTATAAATATTTTTTTAGCTGTAATTTAATTAATAAAAAAAATCAAAAATTTTTAGACGTCTGCTAACTTCAGTGTCATGAAAATTTTTATAATTTTTTTTATTAAAAAAATTAAAAGGAAAAATTTCACATGTAAAATATTTGAAAAATTATACGTGCAATTTTTAATTATAATTAGAATATATTCATTTTTATAAGTTATATAAACAAAAATTAAGAAATTGCAAACATGTTTTTTAAAATTGACTAAATTTTAATTTTAAAAATTAGAAACTATGTTATCAATTGTTGGTTATAATACATCAGTGTAATGATAATTTACCGTCAAATAATAATCATAGGGACTTTTTTATTCAGGGAATTTTTTTTTTTTTAAACAAAAACTTATTATATTATTTTGGTGGAAGTCGAGAGAGAGATAATCTCACCGGTTGGAGAAAAGTAAAAATAATCAATTTCTTATTTTTGAGGAGCAATTTTGAATTTAATAAAAATGTTCGCAATTAAACGAATCACTGCAGCGGTTCCGTAAGTAATCATTTATAAATATTCTAAAATATAATTTGACGGATAATTATTCAATTATGAATTATGTAATTAACCTTAAAATAATAAAAAATTTTAATTGCTAATTTTTTTAGTTTTAGGTCAAACAGACATGGTACAAAAAGCGGACATGTCAATTTTGTAACTTTAAAAAAATTCTGAAAATGAATTATGAAGTATGAAAATTAAGAGCCGACATCTAAAAATTTTTAGAATTTTTTTTATTGAAAAAATTATTTCAAAAAAAAATTTTTCATTTGTAAAAAACTTGAAAATCTATAAGCGCAATTTTTAAAAAATATTCTTTTTTTTTTATTTAATATATCAAAAAATTAAAAAAGTCGGCTAACTTTAGGGCCAGTTTTTCAATCCAGGATAAAATTTTAAAATTTTATCCGAGATAAAAGTACTGTCAATATAATAAAAAAAAAAAAAAAATAATTTAGCGACGTGAATTTGGTCATTTATTTGTTAATTTAAATAAAAATTAAATATATCATAAAAATAATAATAATCTTTTATTGTGTCATTTAAATTATTTTAAATTAATTAATATAATTGAAGAGTTATAAGTTTAAAAAGGGTATCTTTTCATTTTTGTTTAACCGAGATAAAAAACCGATTGAATATCTTCAATTATAAATATATTTATTGAACTTTTTCAATTTAACTATAAAGTGCTATCGGTTATGAAGCTACAATCCGATTTTTATTTAGAAATATTAATAATTCTTAAAGTAATTAATATTTAAAAGTTCAAAAAACTCCTCTTCTAAAATACGAAAAGATACCCTTTTGAAAATCAACTCCTCAATTATAGATTAATAATAGATATGTCAAAGAGCTCAAAAGCATAGAACAGTGACCGCTTGAGCTCGGAGAGCTCAAAATAACACATAAATTGTAATTTGGAGCTCGATAATGTTACAAGCGCTTATATATGGGATTAGCGGAAAGTTGCAGGGATAGCCGTCAGGGTCATCCGTTTTCTTAATTTTTATTTTATTTATTTACAATTTTAGCAAATAGGCTAATGTTTATTTATTTTAATTAAAAATAAGTTACTGAATTTAGGGAGAACTACTCGTACGCAATATCACTGTGCTGAATTATTTGTTTTTATTATTATATTGGCAGTACTTTTATCTCGAATAAAATTTTATCTCGGATTGAAAAACTGGCCCTTAGTATTACACATTTTTTTTATGACATTAAAGTTAGCAGTCACTAGAGAATTTTTTAATTTTTTTTGACAAACAAATTTGTTTAAAAAAATTACTTAAAAAAAAATTGTATTTTTTATTTTTTTCAATTTCTTCATGTCAATTTTTTTTCTGATTTTTTTTGCTTGCCATAATTTATTAAAAAAAAAATTCTAATAATTATTAAATATTTGCTAAATTTTTTTTTTAAGATTCTTTTTTTTTTTATCATATTTTCAGGTGGTTGCTCTTTGCAGTATAAATAGAAAATCTAAGACGGTTGCGACAAACCGTGATAATTAATTAAGTTAACAGTTTACTGATAAGTTTATTAATGAAGCGTAATTTGGGTTAAAGTCTCAGAAATCAATACATTTAAAATTATATTTTATCATTTGGTTTCGCTGATAAAAATTAAAAAATATGCAATCAATCATTCAACAATTATAATAATTTATTAATAAATTTACAAAAAAAAAAAATCTATAAAGTCGTAAGGATATTTTTATAAATACGGATACGAAAATTAAAGTTTATTATTAGTGTGTTTATTGATTTCCTGAATGAAGATACATTGAATAAAATTCGAAGTAATTTCTATAAAATATTCCGGTCACTCTAGATTCAATATTAAGTTTTTTTTTTTTTAAATTTTTTTCATTAATTAAATTAGAACTCAAAAAATATTTTTTAAAAATTACACTTGTAGTTTTTCAAATTTTTTTCATATATAAATTTTCTTTCTATTTTTTTGTAAAATTTTTTTTTTAATAAGAAGAATCCTAAAAATTTTCAGATAATTTTTTGACCGATAATAATTTTTTTTCAGATATATTTGAATGATAACAGTATATTATTAACTTTTATTAAATGAAATAATTTTAGAGTATTAAAAATTGATTTTAATTTTTAATTAGTTCAAATACTATTAAAAAATTTATTTCAATAGTTTACTTGTAAGTTCATTTTTTTATTAATTTTTTGAAAAACTAAAATGACGATTTTTTAAATCTTAAACTAAAAATTTATTTTACAAATTTTATTTTTTATAGATTATTTTAAATACTTGAAGAATAATTTTTTAACTAAAAAAAATCTTTGAATTTATTACAAAAAATAATTTTAAAAGATTATTATTATTCATTTTTTAATTAATTAAGACAACAAATTTTTTTTTCAGGCGTACAGGGATAATTTTACGAAAGAAGCATACATTACCCGACCTACCATTCGATTACAAAGCACTGGAGCCAATAATTTGCGCAGAAATAATGCAGCTTCACCATTCCAAGCACCACGCCACATATGTTAACAATCTGAACGTCGCTGAAGAAAAATTAAAGGAAGCGGTTGCCAAGGGCGACGTTAACACCCAAATAGCATTGGCTCCTGCTATTAAATTCAACGGCGGCGGGCACTTGAATCATTCTATCTTCTGGAACAATTTATCACCGAGTTCTAGCAAGCCCGATGGTAAATTTCAATTTCCAAGTTAATAAATAAATTACCGGAGTAATAATTAATGATAAATAAAAATTGCAGCTGCACTGATGAAGAAAATCGAAGCGGACTTCTCGAGCTTAGACGAAATGAAGAAACGTTTGTCTGAATCAACAGTCGCTATCCAAGGCTCAGGATGGGGTTGGCTTGGGTACAACCAAAAAGAAAAACGGCTCCAGATAGCGACTTGTGCTAATCAAGATCCACTGCAAGCCACCACTGGCTTGGTTCCGCTTCTGGGTATCGACGTTTGGGAACACGCTTATTATTTGCAGTACAAAAACGTCAGGCCGGATTACGTTAAAGCTATATTTGATATCGTTAATTGGAATGATGTCAGTGCTAGATTTAAGCAAGCTGGCGGTTCATAAGTAATTTTATTATTAATTATTATTATTTTTATTATTATTATTATTATTATTATTATTATTAATATTATTATTATATACTATGATAAACTTTTATAGATTTCAATAAAATTAGTAAAGGTAAAAAATTATGAAATTATTTAAAAAATTTTAAGGAGATCCACGTGAAGTAGTCAAATTTTTAAAACTTCCTAAAAATTTGTAAATTCAATCTACATAGCCTGATAATTAATAAAAAAAAATTAAAAAACAGGAAATTTCCGGGATATTTAATGAAATAATTAGGTTTGAAAATTGTAATTTTTACATGTAAAATGGAGATTACATCAGCCGTGTATTTGGTTAAGAATTTAATGCAATTAACGATTTAAAAAAAATTTTATTTTCATTGAATTTGATTGAAAAAATAATAAGCTTTTGATTAAAACAATAAAAAAGTATTTACATATTATTTTTTTATATACATTCTTTACACTAGTAGAAAATTTGGAGCTTTTTAAATTGGAAATTTTGTAATTAAAAATTTTTAATTATTTATAAATAATTTGCAAGTAGCTTGAAAATTTTATCCCGTCC